GTAGAAATAATTTGTAATTTTACAGGTTATTACTGTCACGTTTATGGTCTGTTTTTGTTTTGTTTTCCCTTTGTTCCTGCCTCCTGTTTCTGTATGCCCTTATTTAGTTTCCTTCCAGTTCCTGTCCTGATTATGTTTGTCTCTGCTGTGTTCTATTAATTATCCTTGACTACCCCCCCCCGTGGAAGTTGTGGCTCACTCAAGCCCGCAGACCAGGTAATCTACGGAGAAGGCGGCGGTTGGTGCTAGTCCTTAGGCTCGCTCCAATGTCGGCTCCAGCCCCAGAGCTCGCTCCAATGTTGGCTCCAGCCCCAGAGCTCGCTCCCGTGTCGGCTCCAGCCCCAGAGCTCGCTCCCATGTCGGCTCCAGCCCCTGAGCTCGCTCCCGTGTCGGCTCCAGCCCCAGAGCTCGCTCCCGTGTCGGCTCCCACCCCTGAGTTTGCTCCAGTGCCAGCTCCTCGAAAGCGCGTTGATGTGCCTGCTCCTCCAGAGCAACCTCCAGTGCCAGCTCCTCGTAAGCACTTCCCACGGAGGGCTCCAGTTCCTGAGTATAGCCCACGGAGGGCTCCTGTCCCCGAGTTTAGCCCAATGAGGGCTCCTGATTCCCCGTTTAGTAAGGCTCTGGTCGTAGAGGCCGGGGGGGTGGTGCTGGGGCCGCGGCCTCGCAGGCAGAGCCTTACTATCCGGAGACTCGGGAGGCCATGGCGGCTCTGCCTCCGAGGCCGCGGCCCCAGCACCACCCCCCGGCCTCTACGACCGGAGCCGCCATGGCCTCCCGAGTCTCCGGATCCACCATGGCCTCCAGAGCTCCCTGCACCACCATGGCCTCTCGAGTCACCTGCTCCGCCATGGCCTCCCGAGCCCCCTGCTCCGCCATGGCTCCCCGAGCTGCCTGCCCCGCCCTGGAGGCATTCCTTGTCCCCGTCCTGCACCAGCCTCCAGGGCGCCCACCCCCCTTCCCCAGTGGAATTGTTACAGCGCGGGACATGCCTTTCAGGAGGTAAGGAGTAATCCCCCTCCCCGGTGGAATTGTTACGGCGCGGGATGCGCCTTTTCGGGAGGGGGGAGTAATGTCACGTTCATGGTCTGTTTTTGTTTTGTTTTCCCTCTGTTCCTGCCTCCTGTTTCTGTATGCCCTTATTTGGTTTCCTTCCAGTTCCTGTCCTGATTATGTTTATTTGTCTCTGCTGTGTTCTATTAATTATCCTTGATTACTCCTCACCTGTTTCTGTTCTCCCTGATTGCGTTTCATGTGTTTATAAGCCCTGTGTTTCTAAGTTTGCCTTGTCCGGAATTATACGTCGAAGTTGTGCTTCATAAGGCAAACGTGACAATTACCCCTTTATTCCCCAAACTTCACATATTATTCCCTTATATGTACACGGAGGTACTGAATAGGTACACTATAATTAAAAAAAAAGTTACGCTGTAAATTATGTTTACTTACGCAGTACGTTGCGGGTTGTAATCTAAAGCGTTACCTAAAACTTAAGATAAATTTTTCGTTTTAACTAGGTGACAATGACTTTCTAAAGTAAAATAAGAACCAAAGCGTGTTCATATTAACGCCTTTACTTTTGCTATGAGTCCTATAGATTCAGTTTTCTATGTATTCTGTATCTTATTGTGAATATAAACCATCAGTTTTGGACACCGCAACGCTAAACTGAATTTTATTTCTGCATTTGGAAACAAATGTTGCGAATCAGGTGTTTGTTCTCTGCAGTCATTCAGAGAAATGTGTCATATTTGCTGCACAGATTCTGAGTTCGGCCAGTCTGCAAATATGAGTTTCACAAAAGAGCATTTAAATGGATATAGCCTAATAAAGATCTCATTAAATTACAAAATTCTTATGAGCAGGGTTCATACACATTTTTACCAATAAATTTCCATGATTTTTCCCTGGCTTTTGAGACAATATTCATGACCTAATGTTCCATTATTTTACAATAAGAATAAAAATCTGTTCAAATGATCATAGCATACTAAAATTAATGACTACGCTACTTGTTTGCTTTCTATTTGTTTTAGTAATAAATACAAGCTGCAACTGCGCCAGACGTTACTCCACGCAGAGAACATATCATCACATTACTGAATATTGTGATTTAACTCAGTTAAACGTTTTTTATTATTTTTTATTTTTTGAAAACTGTTTCGGTCTGGTCCTTGCACAGAGTCCGAAATTTTCATATGCGGTTTTTTTTTTCTTTTCATATTCGTCATCCATTCCTATCAAAATGCTTGCTATGGATGCCAAAAAACGCAGAAAATCGAACCTGATTCGAATTTCTTTTTATGACTGACGAAAGTTTCAGAGGCAGTGTGTAGATGTGATTAACAACGCGAGATCGTATTTATTTTTAATGTACAAAAATGTCAGACTCAGTGTGCAATGACCTTAAGGTACAGAAGTATACAGAAACTGAATAAACTGTAAAGTGATAGATTTATTTATCACCTTATTCATGCCCCTAGGGACGGTGTTTACCATCCCAGCCAGCAGCAGCTGAGTCAGTGTCGCAAAGATGAAGTTGACAATCCTGACTCGCCATCTCCTCACTGGACGCGCCTGTTACTGTTCACGGAGACCGAGATGGCAGAAAGTGCATCCTGTTTGTTTTCCTTATTTTACAAAAGCACAATGTTTTGTTGATAGGCTATTGTGAGTGCACAGAAATAAAAGTAGACACTTTACATTTCTGAGTGATGTATTACTCTTACCTTTATGAGCAAAAATGATGGCGTATTTTCTAGTTGTTTCCACTATCAAGACAAAAATGCAAGGGATCACGCTGGTGCCTCCAATGTCCTGCAAAGCACACTTCAGCTTCCACTCTTCACACAAACGATTGGATATGCACCTAACAGCACACATTTATCTACATCAACGAAAGGTGGTGTACAGACGTAACAGCGTTAAAGAAGATGTGCTGTCCCTATCTAGAAACACTCTTCATCAACTGCAAGTCTTTCTACTCGCCGCAGGAATTTTCCTTGTTCATTCTCATAAGTGTTTATGGTATTCAAGGTATTCAAGGGCAGGCTTTAAGATGGTTTAGATCCTACCTGTCCGATCACTACCATTTTGTTCATTTAAATGGGGAGTCATCTCAATTATCACCAGTAAAATATGGAGTGCCACAAAGATCTGTCCTAGGTCCTCTGCTATTTTCGATATACATGTTGCCCCTTGGTAATATTATTAGAAAATATGGGATTAGTTTCCACTGTTATGCTGATGATACTCAACTATATATCTCAACAAGACCAGATGAAACTTCTAAATTATCTAAGCTAACAGAGTGTGTTAAAAATTTAAAAGATTGGATGACCAATACTTTTCTCCTATTAAATTCATATAAAACAGAGATATTACTTATTGGACCAAAAAACAGTACACAGAATCTCTTGGATTACAATTTGCAACTAGACGGGTGTACTGTTACTTCCTCTACAGTCAAAAATCTGGGTGTTATATTAGATAGCAACTTGTCTTTTGACTTCTGCCATATGTACATTAACTGACAGTCACCACTGATAAGCTACTACTAAATATTGTAGAAACTTAATTTGCTGTAAAGTTGCTTTGCAACGATTTGTATCGTGAAAAGCGCTATACAAATAAACTTGAATTGAAAACTTGAATTGAATTGTTTATATCCCTCCACAATCACACGTGAGCCTGGCTTTACACAAACTTGCTGATCAAATCACAGATATAGAGCAACAACACCTGGACTCTGGTATAATCATTCTTGGGGACTTTAATTAAGCCTCCCGTGAACTGCCAAAATACAGACTGCATGTTACATGTCTCACCAGAGTAATATATTGGATTACTGTTACACCACAATAAAGGGATGAATATTGCTCCATCTGCAGAGCAGCTTTAAGACTCTCTGACCACTGCCTGGTTCATCTTCTTCCAACATACAGGCAAAAACGTAAATCTGTTAAGCCTGTAGTAAGGTCTGTAAAAAGATGGACCAACGAAACCATCAATGCATTGATTGGAGTATTTTTTTGAAGCTGCTGCCACTGATCTGGATGAGCTCGCGGATTCTGTAACATCTTATATCAGTTTCTTTGAGGATATGTGAGGATATGTGCATTCCTACAAGGACTTACTTAACATACAACAACGCCAAACCAAACCACAGCAAAACTCTGACAGCTTCGCCAGGCCAAAGAGGATGCCTACAGGAATGAGGACAGAGTCTAGTAACTAGTCCAGAAACTGAATAAGGAAATTAGAGTGGCTAAGAGGAGCTATGCTAAAAAGCTAGAACATCAGTTCTCTACCAGCGACCCTGCATCAGTGTGGAAAGGTCTGAAAGACATCAACTACAAGACACGATCCCCCAGCACTGAGGCGAATCAACAACTTGCTGAAGACCTGAATGAGTTTTACTGTAGATTTGAAACTCTCAGTCTAACACCCTACACTCGTTCTGACCATCTCTTTACACAACCATCAACCCCCCTCTCCCCCACTCTTGCACTTCAGATCAGTGAAGATGGTGTGCGTCAGGTCTTCAGAAAGAACAAGAGAAGAAAGGCACCAGGCTCAGACTGTGTCATACCAGCCTGTCTGAAATACTGTGCTGACCAGCTTGCCTACATCTTTTCACAGATCACTGGAGCTATGCGAAGTCCCTTCCTGGTTCAAACGCTCCACCATCATCCCCGTCCTAAAGAAACCCAAGACAACAATACTTAAAAGTCCACTGAAGTGCCTTGAAACACGCACTATTATTCTATGTGTTGACGTCATTTTAACTGAAACAGGAAGACCGGGGGGATATAAAATAGCCAATAGCATTTGTTTATATCACAGTTTGGACTAGAGCCATTAAGCTTGTGTGGCAGTGTGGGACAGCCTTCCCTTTCTTGGGTGGTGTCCCTTTAGGAGAGTGATTAATGAGGATAATTAACGTTAGAGTATTTAAATGTCTGGGTGGGAAGCATTAGAACGTAGCCTCTGTTGTTCCTGCCCTTCTTTCGGTCTTCAGCATCACAGCAGTTGAAGTAGGTGGTGGTTGATTATGCGTGTATTGCGTGTTTTAGTCGATTTATAGTAATGCTCGTTCTTGTTTTTTTATATTGGCAAGATGTTGTTGCAGCCGTGCCTGTTAAGTCCTCGGTGAGCTGGGTTAAGCACTCGTTGGAAGTTCTAGGTATGCAGGTTGTTGTTTTATGTTGATTTTCGCTTTGAATTATTAGTCTGAAGTGTTTCTCTTATGTATTTTTAGTGAAACAATAGTTACGAAGACATCCTAACATCCTATGTTTGGGCAGTTGCGGATTGGAGTATGTATGATGTGATAATTGTTTGGTAATATGTTGTTTGCGGTGTTTTTGATTTATTGTTTTGTTTTTACAGTCTTCCGCAGTCCAGTTGATGCCTAAACTGCGGGTCGTGCTGCTGTTTTCCTTCTGTTTTCCTTAGTTTGGGTTGTTGTGGTGTGAAGATGGAGTTTATGCATTTCCTTTTGTGTGTGGGTTTTGTGTTTGTTTTGAGCGTGGTGGTTCGAGTGAGTTGTTTAGGCCGAATTGGTAGTGGGTCCTCCACTTAAAATCTCATTCTAAGTGGTACTGGTTTGTTGCCAGTGAGGTAGGACGCTACTTTACTCCATTAATTGGCCTTTTTGTTTAGTAATTGTGATTTTGTTCTTTTTTCCTTTTCTTGAGTGAATATTTGATATTTGTATTTTTATTGGACCCACTAACTTCTTTTTGTTAGTTCAAGGCTGAGCACGCCGAAGGGGAGGCTAGTCACCTGGGTGAAGCACTTTGTTGTGAGTTTGGAGCACCCGGGTTTGAGCACCTCTTCCTATTGTTTGCTGAGCACATGTTTGGTTGAGAGCAGTTTATTTCAGCTAGTTTGCCACCCCTAAGGTAAGCTTTAGCCTTGTTGCTTTCATTTTTATTTTTGTAAGATTGTTTTCTTGTATTTTGAATGTGTAGTAAAATGTTTTTTTTTTAATCTGGTGAACTTTGATGTACCATTGCTGTAATAAAATTTGTCAATTTTGAGCACTTCTCCGTCTTCTCATTGCATCATCGGACTTACAGTCCTTGAGTATTTCCCTGGGTGTAATTCCCAGGGTGGCGTAGTCATTCTACAAACTTTAGGTTACCAAAGGTACAGCACTGGTCACAATCTGGCATAGTCGGCAGGGTTTTGTTGCGTTGTAGAGGCGGAGACGTAGATTGTTTTTTTTTATTTCATTTTTTTTATTTTCTTTGTAGAGGTAAAGGGGGAAAACAGCAGCCGACTCCGAGTCATGGATGGTGAATTGGCAGAACTTCGAGATATGGTGGCACAATTGAGAGCCGAAAATGAACGTTTGCAGCAGGAGCGGATGGCCACTGCAGTAACGGATGCTGTCCCGGGTCTTTGGGATAACACTGCTGCAAGGCCATCTACTAGTGTGGCTGCCGGAGGTATTTCAACTGCTATTGAGAGACTTGTTCTTGTCCCACGGGACAGAAAGTGTCCTATGTTCTGAGGTAGTTCCGGTATTGGTGTCGACGAATGGGTTGAGGAGGCCCGTGCATGTATGCGAGCTCGTCATTTGGTTCCAGCTGAACCAGCTTTATTTTTGTTTGACCACTTAGTAGGGAGGCTAGGGACGAAATTAAATTTCGTTCAGGTGCTGAGCGGGGAGACCCTGAAGCCATTATTAAAATTCTATTAGGACTGTATGGTTGTTGTCAATCATATGTTGCCTTGCAAGAGGCTTTCTTTTCCAGGAAACAGCAAGAGGGGGAGGGTCTTCATGAGTTTTCTTTGGCTTTGATTGGTCTCCTGGATCGGGTAAAATGGGTTGCACCAGTGGGTATGTTGAATTTTGAGGTATTGTTACGTGATCAATTTATTGAGCATGTTTGTGACAGTTCTCTCCGTCGAGAGCTAAAGCAACTAGTACGTCGCCAGCCTACGGTTACACTGTTAGATGTAAGAGGGGAGGCTATTAGGTGGGAAAGGGAGGGCATGCCCGGGGGTGCCCGAGGTCATAGTTATTCAGTTCCATCTGCCTATGGCCTCCAGTATGGGGTTCAAGGGAGGTCTTCTACTATGACACATGATGGTTCATTTGGGTCTGAGTTGGGGGATCTCAAAGAGATTTTGAAGCAACAGCAGGACCAGCTTAATCAGTTGACACAAAGTATCGCCTCACTTCAGAATAATCAAAGGCGCATTCGATTGCCCAGAGATGGGCCTGTAATTTGTAGGAGGTGTCAGCGTCCTGGGCATTTTGCCAGAGAGTGTGATGGCGAAAGGGTTTCCTTTCACCCTCGGTCTAATTCTGTAGCCTCATCCTCATCTTCTCTGTCTGTTGTTGGGCCTCCTGCTCTCCAACAGGAGTCGGAAAACTAGTGCCCACCGAACTGCTGAGCCACGGTTTGGGTGGGGCCTCTATTGGTTTTAGTGTTACGAATAGTGTGAGCACCACAGCAAAATGAATGTCCTCTTGCCCTTATGTAGATGTTTCTATGGGGGGAGTTAAGGTGTCTTGTTTATTGGACACCGGTTCAATGGTGTCTATGGTCACAGAGAGTTTATTTTCGCAACATTTGAAGACAGGCCGTTTGCAGGCCTGTCGGTGGCTTCAGCTTAGGGCTGCTAATGGATTAGCCATACCTTATTTAGGCTACCTAGAATTGGATGTGTCACTGTGTGGAAAGATTATACCTGGTTGAGGCATACTCGTAGTAACAGATCCTCCGGGTGGTGCTAGTAACCAAGGGGTTCTTGGGATGAATATCATTAGCAAATGCTATGAGCTTCTGTTTTGACAACATGGGCCTGCTTTATTTGAGTTGCCAACTGTGTCCCAGGCACCTGGTCCGGTGGTTCAAGCCCTTCAGCAATATCATCAGGTGGATGGTAGTCCTCCACCTGACTTGAAGAGTAGTGTTAAATTATGTCAAGGGAGGGTTCAGCATATCCGAGGGGGTGTGACTAAGTTTGTTGCTGCAACTTGTTCGGACCAGTTTTCGGGTGGTTTTGCTTTATTTGAGCCTCTTGTCTCTGGCTTACCTGGAGGTTTGTTAGCTTCCTCTGCTTTAGTTAGGGTGTCTCGGGGTACAGTTTACATTCCTGTAGTAAATGTTGGTACCATGGATATTGTGCTCTATGCTCGCACACAGCTAGGTCATCTATGTAGTGTGGATGTGGTTACTTTACCGAAGGGTGTAGCTGAGTTGAGGGCAGTTGAAGTTGCTGGTACCTCCCCTAATCCTATTTTGAGTCAAATTGATGCTCTTGATTTATCCAGTATTAATGGTGAGGATAGCCAGCAGGTTCGGATGTTGTTGCATAAATATCAGTCGGTGTTCTCTGCCCATGAGGGTGATTTAGGCTGTACAAGTCTTCTATCACATGAAATCCCTCTGTTAGACGAAGTTCCTGTTAGGCAACGCTACCGGCGTCTGCCACCATCTGAGTATGAGGTCATTAAGGCCCACATCGATCAGTTGCTTGAGGCACAGGTCATTAAGGAGAGCTGCAGTCCCTACGCTTCCCCTATTGTATTGGTGCGAAAAAAGGATAGTATTCCTCGTCTTTGTGTGGACTACTGCCAGTTAAATCAGAAGACTCGTAAAGACGCTTTTCCACTACCTCGTATTGAAGAGTCTTTGGATGCACTTTCTGGGGCCTGCTGGTTTTCTACTCTTGACTTAGCCAGTGGTTACAATCAAGTTCCGGTTGCTGAAAAGGATAAAGCCAAGACCGCTTTTTGTCTGCGTTTAACCGTATGCCATTTGGCCTCTGCAATGCTCCAAGCACTTTCCAGCGTCTTATGCAACGGTTGTTTGGGAAACTGCATTCTCAGTCTCTCTTGCTTTATCTTGATGATGTGGTGGTTTTTTCTTCTACTATTTCACAGCATCTCGAGCGATTAGAGGGGGTGTTAAGCCGATTGGAGCAGGAAGGACTTAAAGCTAAGTTGGAGAAATGTGCCTTCCTTAAGCAGGAGGAAGGCTATTTGGGACACGTGATTTCCAGCGCTGGTTTTATTACAGCAATGATTTACCATTGCTGTAATAAAATGTGTCAATTTTGAGCACTTCTCCGTCTTCTCATTGCATCATCGGACTTACAGTCCTTGAGTATTTCCCTGAGTGTAATTCCCAGGGTGGCGTAGTCATTCTACAAACTTAAGATTACCAAAGGTACAGCACTGGTCACACTTGGTAAAGCTGCATATGACAGGGTATGACAGCCACAATCTCATCCATATTCCTATAAAGTATACCTTTTTGTAGAATTCAAATGGGTCCAATACATTGTGTGGTCTGCGCCATCTCACGCATATCACGCCGGTGTCTCTGGACCGGAGCAGACTGTGTGCGCTTTGTGGCGGTTTGTGTGACAGTGACACAGTGAGAAACCAGATTTCTTAAGCCCCGATGAAAGCATATTTACACTGCCTGAATCTGTCCCTATTCCCTATATCAGCGTTTCCCAATCCCAGTACTCGCACCCCTTGCTCTGCACATTTGGTGTGTTTCTCTTATCACGTACGATATTTGTTCTATTTGACTGTAAGTGCCCTGTGAAGTGGACATCACCGAATATTCCGCCATGATTCCAGTTTGAAACGAGCGTAAATGTTCCATACAAAGGGCAATAAAGTGTGCGAGATGTAAATTTAAATAGTATTTATTTAAATACTAAGTATAAGTATAAACTTCTGCATCAGAGCTTCTTTGTTTTTGTCATGCCAATGTGTTATTATAGGAAATAAATAGAAACATTTGCGACTCGAGTTGTTGTAAAATAATTCAATGAGAAGTGTGCCAAAGAAAGAGAATGCTTGAAGATGATTTTTGTCAAAATGTCTATTCAATGAAATTACAAAGCTTATATAAAGCAGCAGTAATACAAATACCAATTTTTAATAGAGTAACCTGTGACAGTGATTGGTCCACATGAAGGAGATGCTTCCATTTTTTAACACCCCAAAACTGGACTAATTTGAGATGGCAGCTTCGAATGTGGACTCCTTCATTTGACGATGACGAACTTCTCGAACGTATGAGTTGCAGTTAACTGTAGACCTTATGTCCTCCTCTTGGAAAATGTCTTTGTAAATTAGTACTTCAATAGTACTCCTACTAATTGGAAAAGAGTAAATCAAAAACATTAATTTAAACAAAGACCTGGTTAGGATATTGTGGTGGCTTCTGCTGCTTCTGTGAGAAATCACTCTCAGAAGATAGACTTTATTATCAGAGACAATGAAGTCGAGAAACTCTGCAGAGACTTCTCCCGAATCTCTGTCTGCACACTCTTTTATACAGTTTCCCCTAGGCGTGTTCAACATAGTCCTTCTACCCCCAAACAATGTGTACATTTTACTCTGGAAACATGCTCATAACAGCAGAATAACATGATTACTCTCCTACAGGCCTCCTTGCATACATACATTTTACATGATGGTAAAATAACTTGATTACACTGCAACACCTCCCTTTTAGTTAGGATGTTGCTCTGAGGAGGTTCTACAGACATTCGACTGGTACAGAAAGATAAAACCACTTCTCCAAACAAATATTATTTTTTCTATTTTATTTCCCCAAGTTCACATACAGTATATATAATTGCCACAAAATAAACAATATAAAGAAAACAAACAGTCTTTGCCTCTGTGTGAATCAGTCAATATAATAAATGAAACTTAGCGTGAAAGTTCAGACTTTCGATGAGCTGAATTGATGATGATGCGTTATTTGAGAGCAATGCAATGATATTGCAATCCAATGAGTGCGACACTAAAACAGTCAATGGCGTTTGGTGCCTCACTGATCTCAATGCCACATTGCTTACAGTCACGCGATACTCTGATCCACACCTCTCGCTCCCTGGAGACGTGCAGTGAATTCAAACTGTGCTTCTAGAAAACCACAGTAAAACAACAAGAGTAGACTGGTCCAATAGTGCTATAAGTGCGGTGATATATGTGATGAAAACCAGCAGTCCTTTCTACAAAAGAAAGCGAACAACTACCATCAGTCACCATCCACTAGAAATACATAATACATATAACACATCCAGTCATTAATACAATAAGTCAATATTCAAACTTGAGCATAAACTCTATTAGTTCTCAAACCAGGACTTTTAGAATGAGCAGGAAGGTAGTGTCAGTTCAACCATAAGGTTTCCCTCTACCAAACGACTGACTTACTCGTGGGTGCCCAGGCTTATATCCGCTTACCCCTATGCACTAGCGCCCTCAAAACATCTAAAAAAATTAGAATATCATGAAAAAGGTCAATATTTTTTGTCACTCATTTCAGATAGTGAAACCCATATATTATATAGATTCATTACATAGAGTGAATTATTTCAAGCCTTTATTTCTTGAAATTTTGATGATTATGGCTTACAGATAATGAAAACCCAAAATTCAGTGTCTCAGAAAATTTGAATATTGTGAAAAAGTTCAATATTGGAAAGTCATGGTGTCACACCCTAATCAGCTAATTACCTCAAAACATCTGCAAAGGTTTCCTGAGCCTTTAAATGGTCTCTCAGTCTGGGTCAGTAGGCTACACAATCATGGGGAAGACTGCTGATCTGACAATTGTCCAGAAGACAGTCATTGACACCCTCCACAAGGAGGGTAAGCCACAAAAGTTAATTGCTAAAAAAGCTGGTTGTTCACAGAGTGCTTTATCCAAGCATATTCATAGAAAGTTGAGTGGAAGGAAAAAGTGTGGTAGGGAAAAGTGCACCAGCAAAAGGGATAACCGCAGCCTTGAGAGGATTGTCAGGCAAAATCCATTCAAGAATTTGGGGGAGCTTCACAAGGAGTGGACTGAGGCTGGCGTCAGCGCATCAAGAGCCACTACGAATCCTAGACATGGGCTACAAATGTCGTGAATTCAAACTGTGCTTATAGAAAAACCACAGTAAAACAACAAGAGTAGACTGGTCCAATAGTGCTATAAGTGTGGTGATATATGTGATGAAAACCAGCAGTCCTTTCTACAAAAGAAAGCGAACAACTACCATCAGTCACTATCCACTAGAAATACATAATACATATAACACATCCAGTCATTAATACAATAAGTCAATACTCACACTTGAGCATAAACTCTATTAGTTCTCAAACCAGGACTTTTAGAATGAGCAGGAAGGTAGCGTCAGTTCAACCATAAGGTTTCCCTCTACCAAACGACTGACTTACTCGTGGGTGCCCAGGCTTATATCCGCTCACCCCTATGCACTAGCGCCCTCAAGCTACTCCAAGTGGTATTACAATTGACCCAGATACTTTTCTATTTTCCTTAGGCAATAGCCAGTGAAAATTAAAACAAACTGAACCAAGTAACGTTTAGACCGTTACACAGTGATGTATACTGTAGCGTTACTGTGAAGTTCAGTGCAGTAGTTTGTTAGTGCAGAAGAGAAGATGGAGCTGCATGTGTTCTATGCTATGCAGTGAAAGGCATGCTACAGTGCTGTCAGAGTCAGTGTGGCTGGTGTGTAGATGGTATCCAGTGTGAGGGGTAGGGGTAGGTGGTGAGTATCGTTTGCTATCTGGAGTTCAGCAGTCTGATGGCCTGCGAGAAGATTCATCATCGTCTGTGATCAGGCCTACCACCATTGTGTAATCCGCGAATTTGACGATGATGTTGTAGCTGTGCGTGGCTACACAGTCATGCGTGTACAGGGAGAACAGGAGAGGACTGAGAACACAGCCCTGTGGGGCTCCAGTGTTGAGGGTCAGCGGGGAGGAGATGTTGACTGCCAACTATGACCACCTGCCGTCTGTCTGTCAAGACGTCCAGGATCCAGCTGCACAGAGAACTGTTCAGACCCAGAGTTTAACCACAAGCTTAGAGGGCACTATGGCATTAAACACTGAGCTGTAGTCAACAAACAACATTCTCACATATGTGTTCCTCTTGTCAAGATGGGAAAGGACAGTGTGCAGGGTGAAGGCAATTGCATCATCTGTGGAGCGATTATTGCGGTAGGCGAACTGCAGTGGGTCGAGTGATGCTGGTAATACAGAGCAGATGTGATATCTGATGAGCTTCTCAAAGCACTTACTGATGATGGGGGTCAGAGAAATAGGGCGCCAGTCATTCAAGCAAGAAGTTTTGGGTTTCTTTTGTATTGGCACAATGGTGGATGTTTTGAAACATTGGGGGACAACAGATAGGGAAAGGGAGTAGATTGACATTGAGTACTGACTGACACTAACCTGTGAGATATGATGTTTCTCTCTAGCAGTCATCACAACAGCAGTGGCATGTCTGGACAGCACATCATCACTTGATAATTCATCATTCTACACATGAAAGAAAATTTTTTAACTGTACAATAATTGCATTGTATAAAAGACTGAAATGATAGTAACAATATAACATCAAAGTTATTCATTTACCGTGGTTTCTTTGGGGAGGCTTGAAGAACATGAGTTATCCGAAGGCCTGTATGGAATGAGAAGAGTGGGATTCAAATCTGAAGTTTCATTCAGTACATCCTGTATTTCTAGGTTCTGAGGCAATGGCAAAACTGAGTTACTGCTTAAATTAAAGTTCTTTTTTCTGGGCCTTAGGGTGCATTGCACTTGCAAAAGATCAAATTGGCCAAAAGTCTGTCACTCATTTGTGCGTGATGGGTCAGATAATGTGTAGGATATTTTATTGTCAAATGTACATCTGGGCTGGAGTCTGAGTCTCTCAGTAGACGTCTAACATGTCAGTCTGAGTACAGACAGTGCTAAAGAGCATGAGGCAGAAGAGACAGACACAGACCAGCACACAAACAACAGAAATAAGCTGCAGAACTGAGATTTCATATATTCATATGAAGTCAAATACTACAGTGCTGCTCTACACTGTACTGTGAGTATAACTTATTTTCTAACTATTTCACATCTTCCGTTCAGGGGCCGGTCGCAGCAGCTGGATGTAAAGTAGTTGGGTGTAAGTGCTACTTAAGCCAGACTTTTGTTAAGTCCAGCCTTGTGAGAAATATTTACAGCTGTTACAGGATCTAAAACTACAACGAGGTGCAGCGACACCCAGAATAGATGATGAAGTTTTATCACACAGCAGTTCTGAAAGTGACATGGCCTCTTAAATTAGTAGCTTAATAAATACTAATATACTAAAACGCTAGCCTGCACACATTTATGAAGTAAGATTTATTTTAATGAATCTCCTGCCTTTACCAGTGCAGACAGCTGTGAAAACACAACGACTGTAGCTGGAGAAACAAGAGATGCGGATCTCCAGTCTGTGCTGCTGGAGAAAGACATGTATGAATGATGCATTTATATAGCGCTTTATTGTGTATTGTTGTAATTATCATGGGGGGGGGGGGTATCTCCTTGACCACCACCAGTGTGCAGCATCCACCTGGATGATACGACGGCAGCCACAGCACAACGGCGCCAGTGCCGTCACCACACACCAGCTACAGGTGGAGAGGAGAGAGAGACTGAGCCAATTCAGTGAGTGGGGATTATTAGGAGACAATGATTGACAAAGGCCAGTGGAGGGAATTTGGCCAGGACACCGGGGTTACACCCCTACTCTTTATATATTAGTATTATCGTTTTTTTTATATGTACATCAAAGCAAGTGTTATTGATTTAAAAAGAAAAGCAACTCAATTAAATAAATTTTTTACAAGGAGCTCCATTGTGACTAGTGCAATTTTAGAACATGGCTTTCGGGCAACTCACGTGGGGCACCGTGTTGGCTACCTCTGCACTAGAGGTAAAGATCAAGATGGCGCCACAGATGGCAGCCATGGTTTGTCACTCCTTGGTACTTGTACTTTTTTGTTTGTTTGCAACTTTTTCCCGATCAGCATTACTACGAACTCCTGGGCATCAGAAATAGCACACCAAATAACTTTCTGCCGACATTTGAACATTCAGAAGTTTTACTGGACATTTTAGTCGGAGGAGCTGCGTTCCTATACAAGCTAGGAATGGAACGATTACCGGTTTCACGATAAATCATGATAAAATGCCCTGACGGTTAGTATTATCGTTTAAATTTTAATTATCATCAAAACCGTATTTGATTATCATGATTTTGAAAACTCGCGGTAAATCCTGTCCAGCCAGCATCAGTCTGACGCAGAAGCAGCATGCAGTGTTGTTGTTTTTTTTGTTTTTTTTGCACGAGACGAAATGGCGGAAAGCAGTGACAGCGCTCGGGAGATTTTTAAGCCATCTAAGAGGACCAAATCGGTGGTCTGGTCATATTTTGGCTTTTACAAGAGTCCTGAAGGCAATTTAAACGAGGACGGTCACCCTGTCTGCCGATCTTGCAAGAAGAAAGTCGCTGCAAAGTCATCTTCGTGACCACCACCCACTGTTATAGCGAATGCAAGGCAACTTTTACCTCAGTACCAAAACTAACTGGGCAAATAATTGGATAAAAAATATTGATTAGAGATTAAATATTTTGTTATCTCACTTGTAATTAACGCAAAGCTTCCGCGAAGAAAAGTTCTCAGCAAGTGGCTTTGAGCCAAGACGAACGAACGTTCAAACTATAAGGTTGACATTTAAGAGATAATGTATTGTATATTCATAGTTAACTTATTACACAGATTTTTTTTGTTTACCTAAAATAATATATAAATACGGGGATATGAAATATTGAATTGAGATTAATGTTTTGAAATCTTACCCGTTTATAAATCCATTATGAACGGTGTACAAAACAATCGTCAGGACAATATGATCACTACAGCAAAATTATAGTAGTATTAATACTAAATTCCTCATGAAAAATTAAATCATGAAAAAATTATTTCATTTTCAATACAATCAAAAACTGAGCCGCAAGACGGCAAGCTGCATTTGAATGAAACGAGAGAGCACGTCCGCTCCTATATTTCAATCTTTATAAATCCATTATGAACAGTGAACAAAACAATCGTTATTACAATATGATCACTACAGCAAAATTATAGTAGTATTAATACTAAATTCCTCATGAAAAATTAAATCATGAAAAAATTATTTCATTTTCAATACAATCAAAAACTGAGCCGCAAGACGGCAAGCTGCATTTGAATGAAACGAGAGAGCACGTCCGCTCCTCCGCGGTGATACAAGAGACATGCGGCGACTTCCAAACAGAAGTGAGCATCTCTATGCCCTACTCCCTTCGAAGGGCAGAGCCCTTGAAGCGTGTTCTTTGTAGGGTGCAGGGTATTACTGTCTCGTATAAGCGTTTGTAACTCCCTTGGTGAAGGGAATGACTGACCAAATGTTACCTTGACAACGATGCGCGTGCGTGCAGCATTCAGTACTCCATCAGTTGTTGCAAATAAATATTTATTATTATTATTATTTTATTCAAATATTGTCTAATTGTGTCTTATTTACTATTAAACGTTTTTAAACTAAACTTGCTTACACTACCGTTTTAAATCATTTCTATCACTGACGAAAAATATGTTGTCTTACATTAAAATAGACAAATTTAATTAGCCTATTCTATTTATGTTTGTATGTGAACTCGAAATCTGAATCATAATCAGCTCTTGTCTCTTTTACAAGAAGTTAATCAAGATCCGCAGCCCCCATCTACCAACGCAGTATCTTCTCTTCCCCGATCTACCGGCCGTAAAGCCTCGGAGAAAAGAAAAAATATCTCCACCGATCAAGCGTCTCCAACTCCAAAGAAGGTCAAATCATCCCATCCCTCTCAAGCTCCAGCACAACAGGGAGACGACAGGGTTCTCTCAGCGCTGCTGTCAATCCAAGGAACCCTCTCCGATATGGACAACAGGATCCAGGCACTGGAATCGCAGCACTCGTCTTCTGCATCTCGGGCGATGGTTGACGGGCAGACTTCCAGCTTGACATCATACTGCGCCCTTACTCCCGACTTGGCTTTTCCTAGAAGATCTCTCGGATCAGCGTTACCTGCTGCTTCCACCGGGGTGCCCTTCTTCCCCCCAGCAGCCGCCATTTCTCCCCAACGGTGCGCTCAAATCCTGTCAGGTAACAATATAAACTTGGTTAAAATATTGCTATGCGATGCCCTACTCCCTTCGAAGGGCAGAGCCCTTGAAGCGTGTTCTTTGTAGGGTGCAGGGTATTACTGTCTCGTATAAGCGTTTGTAACTCCCTTGGTGAAGGGAATGACTGACCAAATGTTACCTTGACAACGATGCGCGTGCGTGCAGCATTCAGTACTCCATCAGTTGTTGCAAATAAATATTTATTATTATTATTATTTTATTCAAATATTGTCTAATTGTGTCTTATTTACTATTAAACGTTTTTAAACTAAACTTGCTTACACTACCGTTTTAAATCATTTCTATCACTGACGAAAAATATGTTGTCTTACATTAAAATAGACAAATTTAATTAGCCTATTCTATTTATGTTTGTATGTGAACTCGAAATCTGAATCATAATCAGCTCTTGTCTCTTTTACAAGAAGTTAATCAAGATCCGCAGCCCCCATCTACCAACGCAGTATCTTCTCTTCCCCGATCTACCGGCCGTAAAGCCTTCGTTGAAAAGAAAAAATATCTCCACCGATCAAGCGTCTCCAACTCCAAAGAAGGTAAAAAACATCCCATCCCTCTCAAGCTCCAGCACAACAGGGAGACGACAGGGTTCTCTCAGCGCTGCTGTCAATCCAAGGAACCCTCTCCGATATGGACAACAGGATCCAGGCACTGGAATCGCAGCACTCGTCTTCTGCATCTCGGGCGATGGTTGACGGGCAGACTTCCAGCTTGACATCATACTGCGCCCTTACTCCCGACTTGGCTTTTCCTAGAAGATCTCTCGGATCAGCGTTACCTGCTGCTTCCACCGGGGTGCCCTTCTTCCCCCCAGCAGCCGCCATTTCTCCCCAACGGTGCGCTCAAATCCTGTCAGGTAACAATATAAACTTGGTTAAAATATTGCTATGCGCAGAAACTAACGAAAGAAGGATTGTGGATTGTGGGGATATATCTGTCATTCTTAAAAACAGCGATCCAAGAATCACCAAAAGTCTAACTATGGCAGAATTTAATGTAGCTTTCGGCATGTTCAGAGACATTATCTGCGAAGTGTATCCAGACAGGAGAAAAGAATTAGATACCTACCTAGCTATCATTTCGGATCTCACCATGTCTTACGGAGGCAACCTATTCTACAAATACCACAAATCATTTTCATCGAAAGCAGCAATGAACATACAATGCTTTAATCAGCGACTGAACTGGTCCGTGGTCGATCTTACATTAATCAGCAGACACTTTACGGGTCACCGAGCCCTGTCATGCTCACTCTGCGGTTCGTTTTCCCACACCGAATCTCTCTGCCCTAAGACCGCTTCAACTCATGACGCTAGCGCTTCGGCGCCAGAACAGGTGAAGCCTGAAAGACAGACCCCTCTTTGCTACAATTTCAACAAGAATGTTTGTACTCATAATAATTGTAAATTTTTTCATGCTTGCAGCTATTGCATGAACAGTCACCCGAAGTTTTCTTGTCCACGCCGCACAAAATTTATAAAAAAGAAATAAACACTCCGGTGAACACCAAGGAGCTATCTAAAGCTCTGGAAAAGCATCCATATCGCTTTTTCGTGTCTTACCTCATTTTAGGGCTCATGCATGGGTTTATAGCTGGTCTTTCCTATCTGCCCACGTTCTCTTTCACCTGTCAAAACCTTCAGTCAGCTATCAAAGTTCCACAGGCCGTAGATGATCTGAGGGAGAAAGAAATAGAGAAGGGGTACATGATCGGACCTTTCAATCAACCTCCCTTCAAACTTTTCCGCATTAACCCTTTAGGAGTTGCAGTTAGGAAATACTCAGGGGAAAAAACTTCTAATTTTTCATTTATCCGCTCCCCACTCCACCCTAGGGGTTCCAAGCATTAACAGTTTAATTCCCTCAGAACCTTTTTCCCTGGCTTATTCCACAGTGGACAACGCAATCAAACTCATTAAATTAGCCGGCAGAGGAGCGTGGCTCAGGAAAGCAGACATTAGTGAAGCCTTCAAAATCATGCCCTTACACCCCTCCTCTCAGTGGCATCTTTTCGGGGTCAGTTGGCGAGGAAAATTTTATTTTTCAGTTAGACTCACCTTCGGGTGTAAAAGCAGCTCAAAGATATTCGATACACTGTCTGAAGCACTCTGCTGGGTCTTACTAAATAACTTCAAACTACCATTCGTTCTTCACCTGTTGGATGACTTTCTGCTCATCAACTTTCCAGATGCCAACCAATCGCGCAGCATTAATTCCCTGGTTAAAGCATTCAATAAATTCG